TGAATCAGTGGATAATCACTGATTCAGAATGATCACAATATGCCATTGTTAATTAATGAATAAAATGTGATATTCCTAACCTTTAACGAATCTTGCTTCACTGTATAAATGTAGCGCATTCAATGTATATTGTATATAATATATAGTATTGTAAGATTGGAATTACAATGTGTTGAACGTGCAAATATTGGTATTTCAACTATATAATGGTTTTCTTTCCTTTTATAATTGAATTTAATCGATTGTCCAATATTAAATATTCTAATATAATATGCTGACAATTCAGTATGCCATTTCAGTAGATTATCCATTAATTCAAATTTAGAGATGTGTTTATTACACATAGATCGTAGACACGATGGACATTCTTTCCTTTCTCTTTGTTTTTTTATCCTTACTTGAAGGGCACAATTTACAATTTGCTTATTTTTGCAATTTAATGTAAAAATATAAATCATAAATCTTTTAACAAAAATGACGCACTGATCACACTTGTTGACATTTTAACCGAAAAAAAAAACTTTTTGCTCGAACGATTGCTAGATACGCGCATACTAACGATCCGATTAAAAAGCTAAGCATCTCTATCGATAGTTGAAGCTTCGAACCTCCATTGGATGATAGATGCGCGTCCTTTCGATACCAGGAAAGTTCTGAAATCTAGCGTGAAAGATGATGCTGAGTCATTTTCAGACTCAGAAAAGTTAAAAGTCTTAAATTTTCTTTAAAATAAGGAATAGAAATCTTTTTAACCATTTAATTAATTAATTTAATTAAATTAATTCAAGATAAAAATATTAATATTAACTTTATTATTTTGATAGGGCTTCCAGAATTTGACTTTCCACCTATGGATCCATTATTTTACGAATACGGTACAGTTATGCTTAATTCTGGCGAGATACGAGGAGAAGTAATTATGTCAAATGTCACTGCCATCGGTTTATCAAAAGCTCGTATTTCTAATGCAAGAACGCAGTTTCTCTCTCATGATGTTTTTCATTTGGAAATTAGTGTACAAATACCAGAAATACTTTTAAAAGGTGTTGGGAAAATAAATGGTTCTTTAAGTGTATTCAGAATTACTAATGAAGGTAAGATAATAAGTTTTATATAATTTACAAAGAAATATAAACAAAGAAATATAATTTATTTTGGATATACTTCTATAATAATTAAAGATCAACCGCATATAATCTATAAAATATCTATACATTTTTCATTAGAAATTAGTAAAGTTTTAATATAATCTGACAATAACTATTCAGGGCAAATGTTACTTTTCAGTTACTTTGGAGTTTTATAGTAAACAATTTGATGACAATGTTGCAATTTTTTATAATGATAACGCTAACTAAACGCTCAGGATGTGCTAAGGTTAGAAAAGTCACTTTGGAAAGTAATTGTCACCATTACGCTATTTACTAAAAAAAATAACGTCACTTGTTACAAATAAGAGTAAAAAGTAACATGTTACAAATTAGAAATTATTTTTTTCAGAATAACTTTTTCAATCCGTTACAAATAACGATTGACTTTTCTAACTTTGATGTTAACATTACCGTCATAAAAAATTCATCATATTATCAAATCATTATTATAATGTAACGATTATTGTAAGGTAACGATCAATAAAGTAACGATAACATTACAAATAACACGTTGTAACTATATTTATTATAACTTTAATAGATTCGCAAATTTAACGATTTTACGTATATAGAAATGTTATATGTATATTAAACACATAAATTCATCTTTGATAAAATTAATAAAATTATTGTTCTATATACAAATATATTAGGTGTGGAAAAAAGTTCGTGGCATTTTTTCCGTTACATCTAACGGGAAAAACGCCACGAACTTTTTCCTATACCTAATATATATGTATAGGGGAGATCGGAGTCAGTTAATTATAGGGGTAAGTAGAATAATTAAAAACAAAACACGCGAGACATGCGTAAACGCGTCTGAACAAGCAGCAGCAACTGCCGCTAAGTCTGCGGTAACATTTTGTTGCGAACACATCTATGATAGAAATTATGCCACAATTTTAAAAATCATATTTAAATATTTTTATTCTTAAAATTTTTGTTTTACAATCGTATATGATTATCTGAGATATTTGATTTCTATTTAGTTAGTAAATGTAGTTTTTACTTAATAAAGTCCATCAGATTTTTTTTGTTTATGTGTACTATGTTATCATATATTGTTAATTTTAAAAAATTGAACAAATATTATATGTATAGGGGATAGTAGACTAACCACAACATGAGATTGTATGATTAATTTAGTGACTCTTATAGTACTTATTCAAAATTTTATTCCTTTAAAGAGATTTTCCTCAGTGGTATAAATGTTTAGTGTAAGTTTTAGTCCCTCATGTCCAATCTTTCTCGAAAACTAGATTCGAGTGTGTGTTTTTGCATCAAATGAATAAATTTTGCAAAAAGAAGCATTGTTTTGCCCTGCGAAGCGAATATTTGTGTTTAAAAAATATATTTTTATAAAAGTTTTATTAATATGTAGCCAAAGATGTAACTAAAAATACATTAATCTTTATTTTAATAATCTTAGTCGAATTACTCTGATCCCGGGACCTAGTTGAATCAGATGGAATGCATTTTTTTTTCATATCAGTTATCAGTTTCTTCTTATTATTAAAATATTATTAGATAATCAAATGTATGTAGTAACTGGTGTAGAATTTTTTTAATAAGTCTTAATTTCGTTTGTAAAAGTTCGAACTGAAAAATGAGTCTATTAACTCCGATCTCCCCTATGTAGAGTATTTTTTAAAGAAATAATCATGACTTTTTAAAATCATTGTTATAATATAAACACAAATACTTTCTATTTCCATCATTCAAATAATTTATATGATAGGTCATTTTAATATAACCTTGAATGATGTCAGAGCATTATGGGAGATAACAGGACATGTAGTAAACGATACATGGATTGTTGAAGAATTCCATATCACCCCGTTAATTGGAAAGTTTAAAATATATTATAAAGATTTGTCCGAAAACAACAAACAATTATGTAAGTATTGAATTGATTCAATATACATGCATTCGTTGTTATTTCGTCTAGTAGGCTTTGAATTACTTAATAAAGACTCATATCTAATTTACTGTTTAACAATAGATATTATATATACCTCCTTACTTAACTATGTTTTCGACATAGAAGACTTCTGAAAAAAAAATTATCAGACTAAAGTTAATATATCAACAATTTAATTTAATTTCTGGAATGTGCAGATATTTTAATTTACGAGTTACATATATCTTTATAATATTATTTTTAATGATACGTATGTACAAATTATAAATTATTAGTAATTAATTAATTATTCTAACTAAACATTTATCAGTTTAATTATTTTAAATAATTAATTAAATACTAATAATACATAATTTGTACATACGGTTAGAAATTATATTATAAATAATTAAAATTAGAGTAAAAATGCTCGTATATATTTTTTTAAATTAAACAATGGCTCGTGGCTTATTTCGAGTTTATAATTAGAATAATTTTAAATTAATATAATTAACATAAGAATATAAATACTAAATAATATTTTACAAATGTTTCGGATTACAAAACCTTCTTCAGTGTTAAAATGCAGAAATACAATATTAAATTAACAAATCAAATAAATAACAAATACAATGAAAATTTAAAAATCAGTGGTCAAATTCAAATATCAGTGTATACAGAGTGTCTGGAAATAATCGCCAAATATTTCATAGACAGATAGAACGGACTAAATTGAGTCGAAAAGTCTTCTATCATTTTATAAATTTTCCCAATAGTTAATGAGATATTGATCCTTAAAGATAGCCGAATACGCGCGCTCGCCCGGCCTACTGCGAAGTATATATGCCTACCGATCGCTTGGCGCGCAGACCTTGGGATTGGTTTTGAGGATTGGCTAGCATCGGTAGGCATATACACTTCGCAGTAGTATTCGGCTATTTTTAAGGATTAACATCTCGTTAACTATTTGGGAAACTTACAAAATAAAGAATTCAAAAAATATTATGACAAATTACAATAAGATAAGAAGATTAAATACTTCAGTCAACAGTAGATTGTATTATGTCTCTCGATAAAATAGTTTTGCCAAGGTCCTCAGTTGAAAGTCGAGAATCCAGTTTGTATCAACCGATTTGAGAATTCATTAGTTACGTAGTATTTTATGATATTCTATAGAACGAGTAGATGCATTAAAATAATATATTATTAGTGTGAATAAGCAGTACAGAATCAAATAATAACTTATGTTAATTTATATAAAATACTGTAATTAAAACTTTCAATCAGAGATCTGATCAAGTACATTAAAAATTAGATGTTGACTGTTACTCGTTTGAAAATTGACTGATGTAATGTGTAGGTCAAATAAAAATAAGTCAATAAAATCGAAATGTAAAAACAAGTCTGTTCAAAAGTGTGACAATTTGTCTTCACGTATATAGTCAAGTATGTTAAAATAAAAGTTATCCAATATAACTCAGTATTTTTCATTAAATTTAAACCATTTTTTATTCTTTAATGTGTATTATTTCTTTTACGATAATTCTTTCTAAAATCAAGAATACTAACTTTTTCCCAATTAAAGTTATGATTAGTTTTCGTAATATATTTCGAGATTACTGAGTATTTGGACTGGTCTAATTTTATATTAGACCATTTATTGATGTTCTTTAATTCTTGTCTGTAATTGTCTCTTCGTTTGGTCAACGTACGAGACATCGTACGAGCAGTTATTACAATTTATTTTATATACGACGTTATTATTTTTATCGTATTGATTTTTATCTTTATGAACTTTGATAAATTTATTAAGCTTGTTTAAGCATCTATAGACAATCAATTTGTGGATTTATTAATAGACTTAGTAATTTTATTGGAAATACATCTTATATATGAAAAAATCATTAATTTTCTTAAAACTTTATCAGTATCAACGTATCTGCTTGTGTTATTTATCATTGTGGAATAATTGTTTAATATCTGTTCAAATATCTGTATAATTCAGAAATTAAATTGATATATATTAATTTTATTAAGATTTTAGAAATTCTTCAAAAATCTTCTAAATGTATTCTAAATTTATTTAGAAAACTTTTTGTGATGCGTTTATTATATTATATAAGTCATAATAATGAGATAACGATAATTACTGATTTAAAAAATTAAAAGTATATATGTTATTTTACAAATTAGAATATGTTATCATCTTTTATTGCAACGTTTTTATTTATTATTGCTATTTTTCTAAATATAACATCACACAATAAAAATAATTATTTATATAATTACAATTATACTTATATATTGTAATTTTATTCATGTATTTTTCTAATTTGTTTTTTTCTGAAATACATTGTTATATATTTACTTTTTTATTTTCAGCTGATTTTGTCATAAATTTTATAAATGAATTCTGGCCTGCGATTTATCGATCAGTATTACCAATCATAAATAAAGAATTGGAAAAGTTTTATATTGATATAGCCAATAGGTTATTCGCAAAAGTTTCCTTCTCAAAAGTATTTCCATAAAATTTATTTCACATCATTACAGTGCAAATTGTTTATAAAATTTAAAATATGGTTAATATTATAAATGCAAAAGTATAAGCTATTTCTCTAATTCTGTGAGTTAACCTTTGTTTTCAATTATTGTTTGTGAGCAAAATAAACAAATAACTTATAAAGTATTAATTGAAATGCAAAATTATTTCTCACCTATTTTTCGTATTCCTAGATTATAATCAATATCATGCAAAAAAATATTTTTTTTTAACTAAAAAATAAAGTTTTGAAAATATTATAACTTATTCTCACAATTAGCTCTTATTCACGTCATCGATCAAAATTTTGATTACATACAGGTGTAGCGAGAATATAATGAAGTTAATGATTTTTTTCCTATCTAATTCATATATGCACGCAATAATAAATGATACTGTTTTCCTATTACGTAAAAGTTAAATTCAAAGATAAGATAAAAATTTATCCTTTTCAAAGAACTAAATTTAAATTGTAAAAAACTGAATTTTTTGTTACTTGATAAGGCACATAAAGAGTGTTAAGAACTCTTTTTCTTTCTTTTATACATTATTAATCCTTATATATAATATTTTTTAAGTATAAACAATTACAAGATTAAACAATTAATAACAATTATATAAATATAAAATAAACAATTACAAGACAATTGGTAATTAATAAAACAAAAGTTTGATTGTTAATGCTTATTCTTTTTTTTAATCTAAAATAACAATAGAAATAAAAAATAAGCTATAAAATAACCTATAAAAGAATTAATACTTATGGTGATTGAAATTTTAGGATTTAATTAAATCCTACAAAACGAAAATTACATTTAAATTTGGCAAATTTAATTTTTATATCACTTTTCTATTGTTGTAGATTCTTTTAAAAAATGATGTTCCGCTAAAAGAAGATAAAGTTAGCGGAACAATATACATATCACAAAGTCGATCTACGTAAAAATATGTATTTTTCGTAAAATTTTTACATAAAATAAGTGTTTTTTCTTCTTATATCCGTGAATATACGTACATCAATAATCTAAAATCTAACGATTATATATAAATATAGAAACATTTGCATAAAAAAAATTACAATCTGATCTTTAAAATTAACATTTTTATTTCAGAATCATTATCATTCAATCTTAATATAATTTCTTGGCAATTAAATTTATGTAAAATTCTAGAATTAATCATTATTCGTTGTTACACAAGACAGAGAACATGCTCTACGTGCTCAGTGTATTCCATGCAATATTTGCGTTGTGCTCAGCTGAAGAATCTGATCTTCGTAAGTCTTTTTTAATAATTCTTTACTTTATTCTTTTTAAGCAAATTATTATACGGTTAACCTAAATATATATATGTATATCAATTTTATTTACATAAATCGTTTTTATTGAATGTAAAAAATCACTATTAAATTGCATAAAAAAAATAATATCAAACTATTAAGAAATTATTGTATATTTTTAACCTACATATATAATATAATAAGCAAAAAGATTATTTTTGCTGAAATATCTGAACATTTTTATAGTAAGTGTAGTATCCTTTTATATTCGTCCTATTATAAAAAATTCTTCTTCTTCATTAAATGTTATTTTATATTGCTCTATATAAGCAAATAATACATTTGCAAATTATAATTTTTATTTTTTAAATATCGCAAATTGTAAATATGCACTACAATTATACTCATCATTATAAATATACTCATTATTTATTGTAGAAATAAAAGAATAAAAAAGTTTTTCTTTCATATTCTTAACATAAACATCTGATAATATATACATATATATTTGATAAAAAGTAATTACATCCTAATTAATCATGAAATTAAATGTCTTTATTAAAACAATTCACATATTTCTATATTTTTATTAATTTATTCACTTTATTTACTTCTAGCTCTTAGCTCTAACAGTTACATGCAAGCGGAATTCAGATGACTATTCGGCTTGTTTAAAACAAGCTATTGAGGAGGTATGGCCACGATTTGTAGCAGATATACGTGTAACATTTAATTTATAAGTCTTATTTTAACTTACATATTTATGAATATAAAATATGTTCACTATTACACTTAATTTCATAACGACAATCTAACAAAAACTTATAAGACTCATGAACATTAATATAGTGAATTGAATTATATAAATAAAATAAATAAAGAAACAGTCATAATAGTCGATTCTAGAACTTGGTGCATTATAATATCTGTATATTATAAATACATTTTGTAATTATTATCGGACTTAAAATGCAATTAAAAAAATTGAAATAATCAAGTACTGCAACTAAATTGGTTTTCAGTAATGATATTAATGAATCTTAATCCTCAACTTCAACGCATCTTTTAAATCCGAGCGAAAATTATATAGATGATGTTATGGGATTTTAAATTGTGTATATATAAAAAACAATTTTCTTTTTCTAATATAATCTATCTATTTTTGTTTTTCAATTTTTTTTGTTGTACAAATATGATTTTTAGATCAAAACAAATCTTTTTTGTACTATTCCGTAAAACTTGCTTATATTTTATGAACTTTTAATATTATCAATTTTTATCAAAAAAATTTTTCGGGATTTTTTACAGCATTAGATTATATATTTAGCATTTTGATTGAAAAAAAAATTATAATTCATTAAAATTTACAGAAAGATATACAGTATTTATGATTGCGTTTCAAATCAAACAGTAAACAGCGCGCAATTTATACATATAATTAAAAGATGTGTGTGATTAGAATTTACATATAAATTAGGCACAAAAAATTGCTGCGATCGTATGAATCCTTTTTTTGCATATTTGATTTAATTATATAGGGATCTAAATTAAATTATTATTATTTTTGCATGAAATTGAATGGAAAAATAATGGATTTCTTTTTACTACACCTAATATATTGGTCCTTCAATACGTTCTCTCTTTATACATGATGTATACTAATTTACACAATTCATAAAATCTTATGAATTAAAAAAAAGAATAAAAATATTCTAATCAAGTAACTTAAAAATATGAGTATTAATTTATTTATCTTGATAGGACTTCCAGAATTTGACATTCCACTTTTGGATCCGTTTTTTCACAAATACTACAAATTTGTAATGAATTCAGACAACATGCATGGAGAATTAATTTTGTCAAATAACACTATAATTGGTTTATCAAAACTTCGTATTTCAAATGTAAGAACGCATTTTCTTGATGAGGTTTTCCGTTTGGAAACTGACATAAACATATCTTCAAAAGGTTCTGTAAAAATTAATGGTAATTTCAATCTATTCAGAATTGCTAATGAAGGTATGACATTAAATTCTACAATTATAATTTAAATAGACGGAACTAAGAACATAATTTATATATTTATACATTTTAATGTATTTTTATTTATGAAGATCATATATTGAATTATATTTTCCTTTAAAAATTGGCAAAGTTTTATTATAATGTAATAATTAGTTATTTATTATAATTTTAATAAGTTCATAAATTTAACGACATACATAATACATAGAAATATACAAGGTGTCTGGAAATAATCGCCAATTTCATGAGCAGATAGAGCGGACTAAACTGAGTCAAAAAGTCCTCTACTATTTTGTAAGTTTTCCCAATAGTTAAGATATTAATCCTTAAAAATAGCTAAATACTACTGCTAAGTGTATACGCCTACCGATCGCTTGGCGCGCGGGCCGTGGGAAGCGGGGAAAGCCTGGCGTCCGAGCTATGGAGGCTTGCGACGATGTGCGCGGTGCGGGCCGCTTGCCAGCCAATCCCCAACTCCCAAGGCTCGCGCATCAAGCGATCGGTAGGCATATATATTTCGCAGTAGTAGGCCGGGCGAGCGCACGTATTCGGCTATCTTTAAGGATTAATAATCTTAACTATTGGGAAAATTTACAAAATGATAGAAGACTTTTCAAGTTTAGTCCGTTCTATCTGTCCACGAAATATTTGGCGATTATTTCCAGACACCCTGTGTGTGTGTGTGTGTGTGTGTGTGTGTGTGTGTGTGTGTGTGTGCGCG